ATTTATTTTCATGTGTCACAATTACCATTGTTCTTTTGGTTTTAGCCAGTCTTTAAAGTGTATAAGAACTAAAAGAAACGCAGTGGCGCCTCGGGTCAGGAACTGAACTCTTCCATGAATCTGGGGAGCTTGGCTGAGTCCGTGTTGTCACTCAGCGCGGAGTTCACAGTGGGAGCAAATTTCTGCTGACTGCGTCTGCTCACCAAATGAATGGTTCAGGAACAGAGGCATTTGTGAACCGAGGCGTTGCTGTATTTGAAAGCGTTCTTGGTGTGTGCAGCTGGCTTGTGCGGCTCTCTCCTCAGAGCCTCCTGGGTAGCCGTGGCCCTTGCTCTGCTTGGCGCAGAAGCTGAGGCCCTGCAGTAAGTATTGCCTGCAGTTTGCCAAGGTCTCTCTCATCGGGCGGCGCCAGCCTTGCCCTGTAGCTCCCTGGCTGTGCTTCAGCATGCGCCTGGCACGTCAACCTGCTGGCCCACGCGGCGGCGGCGGCGCTCCTGGAGTTTTCTTGCTTCAGCCACGCGTCACTCTGCTGCTCCAAGGCCACGGCTCAGTCTGACGACTGTGCCCACCCCTGCCCACCCCCACACCCTTCTTGGGCACAGGGGTCTCAGCTGCTGAGCTGGTACCCAGAGCTTCTTGCCCTGTAGTCCCTGTGACCCCGGTCACGACACCAGCAGGCTCTGTTGAGGCACTGGCTGGCCCTGTGGAGCCCTCAGTTGGTGCTGAGTGCGGGTTCTTTCAAGGCAGTTTTGCAACAAATAGGCTTATGCCTTCTATTTGTAGTAGCCATGGAAACGCAAGGCGCCCTCTGCCCAAAGCTGAACGTGCAATAAAGCACTTCAAGTGTTGGTAGGATTAGACTCAGGAAGATGTTTAATTTGCTCCTCCACTCTTTCTTGCTCACTGCCTTCTTAGAGAAGGGACAAGGGGGCAATGTGAATATTAACTGGGACTTGCCTTAGTCTCCCTGGTGACCTTGCAGCCCAGCTGGGTCCTCAGCCATGCATATTCATGGCCTGGGGCTGGGCTCAGACACCTCCTTAGGCTGTATCTCCCAGTGTCCCTCTTCCTGCTGGATGGCATGCAAGGACACTTTCTTCAGGCAAATGCGTACTACATCATAGTTGGACAGGCATGAGATGCTGTGCTGCCCTGTTGTACAGGAGGGTGACCAGGGACAGTGGTGACACATACTGTTTCAGGGAGCAGACAGTAGTCCTCAGTTCTGAAGAAATGGCAAGTGTGTGAGGAGTGCGTGTTGGCCTCACTCTGAATGTCATGCAGCGTACACGTGTATTGGAACAGCACGTGCTACCCTATGTTTATGTGGTTCTTATGTCTTTATATATCAATTTTAAAATTAAGAGGGCCGGCAAGATAGCTCAAAGGACTAAGTGCCAGCTTAGGCAAGGACAGGAGCTGGGGTTCAATTCCCCGATGCCACATGCTGCGCTGGCCCCACCCCTGGGCATAATGAGCCAGCGACCGAATCTAGGCTTGGTGGCACATGCCTGTAGCCCAGTGCTGGGGAGGCTAAAAACAGAAGGATCACTATGAGCCCAAGCTGCATAGTGAAACCCTGCACAGAATACAAAAGTAAATAAATAAAAATTAAGAATAAGAACTAGAGCCTAACACCAGATAAAAATAATACCTTTGATTTTAAAAAAAATTTTTTTTGAAAGGAGTAACTATAAAAGATGGGTTTTGAATCTGAAACCCTGGACAGCAGTGCCCAAATCTCTCAGTGGATGTTGGGATAGGTAGGACACCCAGTGTTCACCGGAGCGGACAGGGCACTCCCCGGAGCAAAATCCAGACTCCAGCTTCACATAGTTCCCAGGACCGCTGCCAACAAGCACAAGTATAAAAGGTCACTGCAGTGACAAGAGCTGTGCTTTGCTGTCACTCACCTCTGCTTTTCAAGGCACTGAGTAGTCTGCTCCAGCCCCATCTCCCCGCACCTCCACATCTCTGTACTGGGAATGCCTCTTGTGCTTGGGCTTCTATCCTGCGTCTAGGAAGTTGTCAGTCCTGCGACATTTGTCCCAAGGTGGTTTCCACGAGACCCAGCTGCAGGCAGCCCATTGTCTCTGGTGGCTGTCCCTCGGTCTTGTTTGCCCCTTTCCCTATCAGATAATAAGCCTGTCTCTTATTATGGAGAGCACCGTGCCTAGACCTTCACGTCATCAGCACCCCACTCACTGGGGGTGAGTCCCTCACACCAAGGCCTGGCACATCTCTTGCCTAGGGCCAGTCAAGAGACCATGCTAGTCTCTTCTGCAGAAATCAGCCAACAAACCCTGGGAGGAGGAATTGATAATAAGATACTATGCCAACAGTATTCTCACAAAACACAATAGAAAATTTCCCACAGCCCTGCCAGAGATGGACAAGATTGAAATCACCATTGTGCCCTGTCCGTGTGGGAATTCTGCCGTTTGGTTTCTGGTGTTCTGGTCCAGCTTCCTTGCCTAGGGTGTGCTGTTGTTTTGCTTCCCCTTAATCCCTCCACCCTGCGAGGCCTAAGTCAGGAAACCATTGCAGAAGAGGGCGTGTGCAGCCTGTGTAGGTCGCTGTGCCCCCACCCGCACGGCACACTCGCCTCTACATGGCCAGCGCTGTGGTAGGCTTGCAGGACAGACAGGTGAGTAAGATACTAGCCGTCATGCTATGAGAAGTACAGAGTCATTAGGGCAGACGAAACACAGTCATAGCGACGGGTTTTTAGCAAATGCATATTGAACTTGACGCCCTGTGCCGGGAGCTGGACTGGGTGCTGGGGGAATGGAAGCACACCCCCTGCTGCCCCTGCCCTTGCGGTGCTCACACACACAGGCAGACAGGTATAGTGCAGGGGGACGAGAATGTTCCAGAAACCTACAGCAGGGGCAGCCAACCTCAGCTGGGTCAAGCGATCCTAGGATGCTAAGGGAAGGCTTCCAGGAGAGGAGGTGGCACTCGGTGCACCCTGGGAGAAAGGAAGCAGCTGGTGCCCATCCAGGCCAGCTCCTGGGTGGGCAGACAGAACCCACTGGTGTAACGGTCCCTAGGCAAGAGATGTGCCAGGCCTTGGCGTGAGGGACTCACCCCCAGTGAGTGGGGTGCTGATGACGTGAAGGTCTAGGCACGGTGCTCTCCTCCGTATGCTGCATTTGCAAGGGTGTCGGATTCCTCAGAGTCCAGGTAACTGGCCCCGTTTCAGGAGCTCATGGTGCGTGCGTGGCAAGCCCAGATTGCCGTCTTCTAGTTATATCCCAGCCAGTAACTCGGAAGCTGCAGAAGGAAGGAAACGCCTTGCTTCTGCCACTTCGGGTTGCACACGTAGGCCAGCAGCCCCTACTCCCACGTGTCGTCCTGTCTGCGTTCCCCTCTCAGGCATCTGCTCCTCAGCCAGTTCTCATGATAGTCACTGGCTGCCCTTCTTCCTGCAAAAAGGGAAAAAGTGAATTTGTGTGAAGAGAGTGCCATCCCGAGTGTCAGCCGGTGGTGCTCGCGGTGGGAGAGCCGACGCAGGAGCACTGCTTTTGTTCGCCGTGCTGGCACGAAGGTGACTGTGGGAAGGGGAGTATTCAGAGTCAGGCCTTAGGAAACGTCTGAACGTTTCCGTGAGCTGTGCCTCTACAAAAGAAACACACTCTTATAAAGGGCCCGGGTTTTGTCATAAAGGGTGACAGACGAATGTGCAGATGAGGAAGGACGTCCCCGCCACTGGTGACTCACTGTGTAGTCAGCATCCGCTGGGCAGACAGTCCCTCTCCTTGGCCATCTGGGCAAGGCCAGTCATTGATACACACAGTGGTTAAGGCAATAGACCTTCGAAGCCCGGCGGGCCGTTCACCCAGCGGTCATGGTTGGGCCTCTTCTGGCACGAGGCCATGTCCAGGCCCCAAACCGCACCCACACCCAGGCCGGGTTGTTCCTGCCAGGCTGAAGCAGTTGGGATACGCAGGCCAGGCTGGGCCACGATCGAGGCTGCAGAGCATCCCGCCAGGCATCCGGGAGGGTTCAGCAGGATTTTAAACAACTCAGGGTACATTTCAGGGCCTAGACTAGAGAAATCTTTCAAAACCTCCAAACCCTACTGGAGGTACAGCTGCCCCTACTGTTGATGTTTTTCAGCCATCTTTCATGGAACTTTCCTTTCTGCTCCTTTCTGCGAGGTTACTGAACCAGATTATAAATAAGTTGATTCATTATTTCCCAGATACTGCTAGAAAGATCCAGCAGCTCTATGACTGGCTTCTCACTTGGGCTGGGGAAGAAGTGACCCAGAGCCAGTCCTGCCCATAGTGCAGAGCTCCACGCGGGTCAGAGCTTGACTCCAGCGGTGCATCCGACACCGTTCAGTTGGGGCTATGCCCAGGTGGGTGCCTCTGGTCATCATGAGGGGAAAGGACTTTGTTTTCTGCTTTCTCTGGAAGAACTTTTACAAGCATCCCACCCCCAGCCCTGTCATCCCCCCAGACCAGGGTGCAGATCCCCAGCCTCATCCTCAGTGGCCTCTTAGGCTCCCGCTGTTGAAGGTGGGTCCTTGTAACCATTTCCATGAGATCCCCTGTGGAAGGAGGTGCGGTAACACTTGATGATTTCCCTGGGGCCCCAGGGCCCCTGGCAGCTGAGCCCAGTTCCTCAGTAAATAACAGCGCTGCTGCTATAGGCTTCCTGGCCATCTGCAGTTGGTGTTGCAGGCCACTGAGTGGGACGTTTCAGGTGAGGGCCAGGCACAAGCAGATAATCAGTGTCACATACTTTCTGAAGCCTGAGTACTGAAATCTGTCAAAGGCCTTCTAGTTTTGTCTCTCAGACACTGAATGAGGGAGATGCCACAGTGACTCCTGGGAAATTGTTGTTACTGATAACTGGGCCTTTTTCATGCTTTCCACTGTGGACACACGTTTGTGGCCTCGGCGATAGTTGGAGGTTGTCAGTGTCTCCATGTCCCCTGATCTGCCCTAGCCAAGCCCATGTGTAGTTGCGATTCCTTCACTCAGCTGCAGTCCTGACACAGTGGGCGGTGTACGCCATCCGCAATCTCACCGAGGACAACAGCCAGAACCAGGATCTGATCGCCAAGCTGGAGGAGCAGGGCCTGGCAGATGCCTCGCTACTGAAGAAGATGGGGTTCGAAGTTGAAAAGAGGGGGGAGAAGCTGATCTTGAAGTCCACATGTGACCCCCCGCCACGGTAAGTGTCCTCGTGTGAGCTGTCCTGTACTCAGTCGTGGGGCTATTCTTGCATCCCAGTGACAGTCTCCATGTGACCACCCATAAGGACCCTGACAAGGGCTTCAAATGGGATTTTGTTCAGGCTTTATGTTACCACTTTCTTCAGAGTTAAAGTATCAAGCTTTTCCTGAGGCAGAAATAGAAAAAGTGCAGCAGAATTTATCCACAGTCTGAGCTGAGGGGACAGTGGTCTGCTGAGGAGGAAGACGTAGAGGACTGAAAGCTTGAGGCCAGTTTACGCGACCCAGCGACACTGTGGTGGGCCTTGTTGAGGAAAGCAGCAGGCCTGAGGACATGGCTCTGCGGGGAGTGTTGGCCTGCCATGTGCAAGGCCCCGGGTTCAAGTCCCAGTACTGCCAAAGGAAAAGAAAAAGGTACATGTGGTCTAAATTAGGACATTCCTGGTTAGAAACCAGGTTTTCTTCCTCAGATAACTAATGTTCACTGCCATTGAAAGAGCAGAAGACCACTTGTGTGGTGTTGGGTGTGTTGTTTCAGCTCCTGCTGGTTACGTGTGGGCATTGTCCAGACTTCTGTGTTTTCGCCCTCTAATGAGTCTTGAGATATATATATATATATATATATATATATATATATATATTTTGCTTCTTTTTCTTCTTAGTGACTGAACTCTCCATCCAAATGTCTGAACTCACAGTCTGTTTTGTGGAATTTCTGTCCTCTCTGCGTACGAAACCGCCCATCTGTGAAGACGTCCAGGTCCAATTTGGGAGCTCTGAGTCCCTTAGGTAATAGTGCTCAGTGTGTGTGAGCTGCAAGAGAAAGTGCCCGAGTCTGCTTGCTTTCTGCGCATTTAGTCAGCTGTGTGGTGTGACTTTGTCCCCTGGATAGAGTGTGCATTTGCGTCGTGGCCGTACTGAACTGTAGCAGCAGATAATAAATGTCCTCTCGGGCGCAGCCCACTGCCCGAGCCTGGGCCTTCTGCCTGCATTCTGTGCATCATTTCAGATGGATGTCAGCCTCGCTCCATCCCCTCGCCGCTCCTCGTTGGGTTTTCTGAATGCTGGCAGCCCGCTGAAGTAGTTTCTCACTGGGATTAGTTCTAGAAGGCTCTTTGCTCCCCTTCTGCCTTTCCAAAACATTGCCGAGACTCATTTCCAGTTAATTAGCTCAACAAGCCACCCTCCTCGAGTTAGGTGCTGCTTGTCACCGAGCCCTGCCCTCTGGAATGTGGGGGTGAGGGAGCAAGGCGGTGTCCCTTAACTCTTCCCATCCCCCTGCTCACGGTGAGTGCCTGCGTCTTACCAGCCTCCAGGCCCCTGTAGAGAGCAAAGCGCTTTCACCTGCTGCTGCGTGTCTAGCTTCCCATCTGTCTGCCTCTTTCTTTCACCTCTTATCTGAAGTGGAACGGGACAAAGAGCGCTGATCGTACAGCCCAGATCGCCATGAAATGCCAGATAGCGAGCCGTCACACTGGGATCGCCTAGCACGAAACCAGTAGGTCCAGAGATTTAGGGGAACTCCTGTGTTAAAACGTGTAGAGCAAGCACAATGGAGACCCACTGAAAAGTTTTACAAGCTAAAATAAAGGCTTCTAAAATAAAATGCCTGAGTGTCTTGGTAGTCACGTTTAACTCGCCTTGTAGAAGTAGCCTGAGCCTGCTGAGAGGGAAGTAACAGGGCTCGGTGCGCCGCCGCCGTCCAGGGAGCTCCGTGAAGCCGCTCTGAGGCAGCGCCAGTATCTGGCATCACAGCGCGCTCTGAAAGCTGTTTTCCCTTGTGTTTGTGACATTTTCCCTGCAAAGAAGACACCACAAAGTGTAAACTCTGCCTGGAAGGTGTGGTGTTCTGGACCACAAAGAGTTAAAGTCCCCTCCCCCGTAGCCTGGCCAGAGGCAGGCAGGGGAGCCCCTTTTTCCTCTTAACAAGCTTGCAGTAGACATTCTTTTCTCCTCAATGGCTGTGTGCACACCAGCGGAGTCACACAAACATGTCGCCAGGAGCTGTATAATAACAAACACACGCTGATAAAAGAGAGCCTTGTGAGAAGAGGCGCAGGGTGTGGCCTGTGTCCTCTAAGTAGGAAGTGTGGGGCTCACACGGTGAAAACACGCCGCTGACTGCATTGTGGCTGCTTTTGATTCCCTTGGGAGCCGGCCCCTGGGGCACAGCAGCCGCCTGCGCTCCCGCACAGCCAAGCTCCTGGGAACCGTGTTGCACACGCTGCTGGGGATTAAGTCACCACCTCCGTCGGGCATTTAGAGTGGAAGAAAGCAGGCCAGCCCCGCAGAATTTGTAAAGGGACAGAATGGTCACAGCGAGTTTTGTGTTCGTATTATTGTTGAGAGCAAATCGACAAAGCTTTTGGCCTACTTCGCTTTAAAAGGCAGAGAAGAAAGGCTCGCTGCTTGATAGCAGGCATCCGCAGAAGTTATTTTGTAATGCTGTAGCTATGGAGAAGGCTTCAGAAAAATTTATTTTCATCATTTTAATTCGATACTGCTAGTTAGGCGCATGCTAATACATCTCATAGGGCGGGGGTTCTTTAGGAACATATATTTGGTCAGCGCTTTACAGTCGGACTGTGGGGCTTGGGGAGCTACTCAGATGGGTTTGTTTGTTGAAAAAGGATATGGAGCAGTGATTAAGCTGGTGGGCGGGCTACCAGTTAGCAGGTTTTAAATCAAAACTTAGGTTTTACGTGTGTGTGCGCACGTGTGCACGCATGTGTCTTAACACCCACTCCTTTTTGAAGTCAGCATCTGCTATCTAATACCATTTGGCTTTTGGTTTTATTCCAGTGACTTTTTACTATCATTCATTTCTATCCTTGAGTGAAATTTTTTTTTCAAAATGCTGAGATCTGTGGGAGGAATATTAAAAACTTTCTTGCCATTACCAGAAAGTTCTGCACATAAGCAATTTTTACATGAGAAGCAGTCAAATTAAAGCAGAATTTTTTAATGCAGAATGGTTGGGGAAGAACTTACAACTAAGACCTAGTTTAAAAAACCTGCTCCTTCGGTCAGGAAAAGCCCTCGAAGTGCTGTCCAAGGTTCTGATAATTGCAGCAACGTTCTCACATATACAGAGAAACAATTCAGAACGAGGTCTGTAGCATTTATTTTCCCATGACACAGGATTTGTTTTCCTCTCCCACACACCTTTTCATGTTTGTGTTTAATTTTAGGTTAAATATTGCACAGTAAGAGTGTCACGAGCTGCCTGCGGTGTAGTGTGTACAGTGCAGCTCTGTGGACACAGTGGTGTCAGCGTCTTCCTCAGACGCCCGTGTCACCACCACACACGCTGCTCATAGAAGAGGCTGCAGCCTTTTGATAATTGTGTGCTTAAAACCTTAAATCAGAAGCATTAAGTTAAGTTTTCTTATTTAAAGAACAATTTACATTCTTCACTTCTTCACAGAGTTGCACTGTGGTAATTTTCACACCAGCTAAGCAGGAGCTTGGGTGGGGG